CTTTGAGCTCAGGGCAGGAAGGCGTATCCGAACTATTCACGACGCTGAATGATGCTGAGGAGCTCCGGGTAACCGTGAGACGTGCAGGGTCATCCTTCAGGATGAGGGTTCCTCCGCATGGGCCAGGCCGTCCCCAAACAGTACGGGGGTGCCCTGCGCTGTCAGTCGTGTGCAGGGGGCCGGCCATCTGGTTGACGGGAGCTGCTGAGCAGAGAATGTCTCGTGGAAACCAGGAGCCGGGACAACAGCACACAGACGAACGGACGGAGCAAAGCCGCCTCCCTCTGGATCCCCGCGGGGCCAGCGCTGGGTCAGCATTGGTTTTTCTTGGGGTTTCCATTGCACATTTCACTCTACTTTTTTAAATTTTTCAATGACAGTTACATTCAATATTATTTTTATTAGTTTCAGGTGTACAGCTTAGTGGTTCAGGTGGGTCTATCAGGGAAACACTTTGTAAAGTATATTCTGACCATTTTATTTTTCTAATTCTGCATAACTCAGGAAGGTATAAGAAATACTTTTATTGTTTTCTTTATTGGTTTTAGAGAGTGAGGAAGGGAGAGGGAGAGAGAGAAACATCGATGAGAGAGAACATCGATTGGCCACCTCCTGCACGCCCCCCAATGGGGATCGGGCCCACAGCCTGGGCATGTGCCCTGACTGGGAATCAAACCGGCGACCTCCTAGTGCAGGGTTGACGCTCAACCAGGGAGCCACACCGGCCGGGCAGGAAATGCTCTCTGGAAACCCAGCATTCTGGGGGCGGGGAACAGTGTTGAGACATTAAGAAGTCAGTCGGGCCCTGGCCAGTTTGGCTCAGCGGTTAGAGCGTCGGCTTGCGGTCCGGAGAGACCCGGGTTCGGTTCCCGCTAAGGGCACGTACTTTGGTTGCAGTTTGTCCCTGGCCCTGGTTGGTCGTGCAGGTGGCAGCCACTCGATGTGTCCCTTCACGTTGATGTTTCTCTCTCTCTCTCCCCCTTCCTCTCTCTCCCTCCCACTCTATCTGTACAAAAAATGGAAAAATATCCTCGGGTGAGGATAAAAAAAAAAAAAGAAGTCAGTCGGAGGAACAGAACTTGGGTAGCAGAGCAGACACGGGTCTGGGGTGTCGGGGAGCCAGGGTGCGAGGCACCGGCCAGGGACACGCTGCCGCGGGGCCAGGTCAGGCCGGTGGGTGTCGGCCAGGGCGAGAGGTTCCAGACCCGCCTGCAGGCCTCTCGAATCAGGAGGCTCACCGCAGCGTTGACTGTACTCGGAGAGGCCTGTCTGCGGAGAGCCGCCCGGCCTCTGGAAGCGGAGCAGCAGCAGACGGGCCCCTCCCAGGAGGGCGTCCTTCAGGGCCCAGCGCTGTGCTGGGGCCGTGCAGTGTGGTGACGGCCGACAGTGACCGTGCAGGATTCTCTCAGCATTCTGCCACCTGCAAGGACAAAGCCGGAGTCCAGCCGTGACGACGTCGTCCCACGAAGTGATTCCCATGACCCGGGAGCTCTCGTGCCCAAGCCTGTGGACACTGCTGAGGGCTGGGAGTCGACGCAGATCCTCAGGCCAGTGACGCTTGATGCCCAGCGGTCAGTGCCCACTTTCTTGAAGCTACTTTCTGGGAACTTACATTCAATTGGCAGAACTGTCCCCAGAAGGCCCCCCGGGGAGACAAGAGGCCTTGGAAAGTGGGCGCCATGTGGCAGGAACTGACCGGCAGGCGGCTGGCAGGGGCGACGGCCTCCGGCCCCGGGAAGGTGCCTCAGGCAGGGCTGGAGACAGCCAGGGTGACAGGCTGCAGCTTCCAGTGCTGAACTGGGGCCAGAGCCGCCAGCACCCGGCCCCGGCCCAGGTTCCACCTGGGGTTCAGGCTGAGGAGAAAGGCGGGGACAGACCTGGGTCCCGGTGCCTTGTCTGTGCTCATCTCTGGGGGCTCAAGCCCCTGTGAAGGAGAACCGCCCCGGGAAGCAGCTCGCTTCAGCCTGAACCGCCCGCAGGGGCGGCAGGAAGCCCCGGAGCCTGCGTCCCTGCGTGGTCCTGGGAACACGCAGTGAAGGGCTTGGGCCCCGGAGCAAAGCCGTGGGTGGTTTCTCCCAGCTGATGCTCGCGCGCCAGGTGGTGAGTCAGCGCACCGGCGTCTCGGGGAAGCGGAAACCAAGATATTCTCATCTTTTGACCAGACAGGGGCTGAGGCCGGGGGACCGAGTGTGTCCGGGATGGGCTGTGTTAGTGCCTGGGAACAGCTCGTTGGGAAGCAGGCTGGCTGTGGGGTCCAGGCTGTGCTCACTGTCCAAGTCTCCAGACCCAGACCCGAGCGCACCAGACGGCCTGGGCCAGTTCGTCTGGGCCGTGGGCTGCGGCCGTGAGGCTCCCACAGGGAGCAGCGCTCTGGCCGAGGTGGGTCTGAAGGAGGAGTTTGGGAGGGTAATTTCTGAGTTTATTCTTCCTACAGTGTGAGTACTTCCAACTCACAAGGGCAAAATCATTTCCGTTGTTTAATTCTTGCACTTTGTGGAGTTTACTATCCGAAGAAGGGATTTAACCTTCACGTTTAACGGGAAGGGTGGACCGTCAAGTCTGGGCTCTCGTGTTGCCAGCGTTTTCTTATCCAACGGTCTTTCGTGAATTTTCCTGTGGGGGGCTTTCTACGTGGGAATTTGGACTCACGGCAGAACCCCTGGCGTGCTCCATCGGACACTGAGGCAGAGAGAATCGGGGATGGAACCAGGAGGGGTTCGTGTCCAATCTTTGGTACCAAGTACCTTTGAGTTAATTACTGTCGGACCCACTGCAGAACCTCTGGGAGAACCACGGTCAGCCACCCACCGAGGGGCCCAGGGAGCTCCCCAGAAAGAAGAGGTCGGTGCTGGGGAAGCGGCCTCAGGCAGGTGGGAACGGGCCTGCTCTCTCTCCAGGTGACGGCCACAGCCTGGCTGAGCCGTGGAGCAAGGCCAAGCCCAGGTGCCAAGAACTGAAGCAGGAACACAAACAGGGACCTTCCCCCTGTCCCGGTGTCCAGGACCCTCCCGAGCACCCTCCGGCCCCACCCCCTTTTCTCCCCCTGGCCCTGGGAAGGATCCTGGACTCTCGTCGGCACGTTGGAACGGATGGTGGGCTGCCCCCTAGCCTTGGGATCTGCCCTCCCAGGGACACCCCGCCTGCTCCTCCGCGGGCTCTGCCCTGGTGAGTGTGAGCAGAGCGAATGGCGGGGTCCAGCCACGTCCCGGACACTCAGTGGGCCAGACAGCCGCGCGGCCGTGTCCTCCAACCGGGCCTCCACCAGCAGGGTGGACGTCACTCACCACCTATTTCTCAAATGGTCCAGAACTTCGGAAGCAGGTGGGGGTGCTCCTTACCGGTCCCCAACAGAGACGACAATATTCACTATGTACACTTCTGTTCTCGAGCCCGTCTGACCTCAGGCTCCCATGACATGGTCAGTGTCCGCAGGGTGCTCTGGAAGATGCTGGGGACACTGTGGTGACCACACCCGGGGTCCTCATGGAGCTGACAGTCCACGGGGTCCCCTCCCCTGCGATGCTGCCTCCTCGAACCATCTACACATCAGCTTGTCGGTACCTCACTGCACCTTCTCCCAGAGGATGCCTTGCTCCGAGGCCTCACAGGGCCCGTGATCCCTTCTGCTCCTTCCCGCGACTCTGCAGCCACCACCCTCTCACACGGCTCACGACTCTGCAGCCACCACCGTCTCACACGGCTCACGACTCTGCAGCCACGACCGTCTCACACAGCTCACGACTCTGCAGCCACCACGGTCTCACACGGCTCACGACTCTGCAGCCACCACGGTCTCACACGGCTCACGACTCTGCAGCCACCACGGTCTCACACGGCTCACGACTCTGCAGCCACCACCGTCTCACACGGCTCACGACTCTGCAGCCACCACCGTCTCACACGGCTCACGACTCTGCAGCCACCACCGTCTCACATGGCCGCTTCCTCACGGGCAGCCTCTTCCTCACGGGCAGCCTCACCCAGGCTGGTGTGCTGAGGGTTCTCAGCCTCAGCCTGGCCGACATCAGCGGTTAATCCTCTGCCGTGAGGGTCAGTCACCCTGTGCCTCAGACGTTGGGCAGTGGTGCCTGCCTCTGCCCACTGGCGGCCGTGTCCACATCCTGCCCCTCCCTGCCTCTGCCCACTGGAGGCAGTGCCCACATCCTGCCCACTCCCTGTCTCAAACACGCAGGAGGTAAAATCGCCCGGCTGAGAGCCCTGACTGCCAGAGAGCACATGCATCACCGGCAGCTCTGAGCAGCTGCGCTGGTCCCAGCGCCGGGCTGGAAGTTGGCTGCCACATGGGAGAGTTAGCGCGGCAGGTGAATCTGGAAAACTCAGGGACTGGAGACAGTCATTCAGGAGCACTGTAAACGCTGCGCTCCCTTAAACACTCGATGGCTAGGATTTTTTTTTCTGGCATAAGCAGCAAATAATGAAAGATTCCCTCAGACAAATGCCACCGTCACACTGATTACTGATCAAAAGGCCAAGATCGGTGAATCCACAGGAGAGGTGCAGAGTGGAGCGGAACACGCTCTGCTCGACCGCAGGGTCAGGGCACCCCGCATGTGCCGTCTGCTGCAGCTGGATGCGCATTTGGGAGAAGACAGGCACCAGACGCCGCACAAGTTCACTTTTAATGAAACACGACCTCAACAGGATGTGGGTATATAAACTTAGTGGTTTTATTGCATTGTTAGAAAATTATATTATAATTAAGAAAGATACAAAAAAATCAATAGACGTTTATTTACAATTAGTATGCCATTATGGCTTTAAATTTCCATTTACCCAACAGGTCTCAAAGAACAGTTTATTACATGCCTTAATAGAACACTTACAATATTTACAAATTCAAAATAGATGTTTTGTAACTGAGAAAAGTTCACCTGAGAAGTCATGGTAATGTTGCCATTTGTCTGGTGTTCCACGCTGCCAAGGGGCGGGGCCCACGCAGCCATCATCTGCCACATCACACGCTGAGCTCCTGTCTGAAGGGGTTACACGCTAAGCTGCAGTAAATACTGTTCTAAAAGTTGGAGAACCAACAATCTAACAACAAATCATTTGCTACAGGCCTACTGAAATAATAACAAAATTTAAGGTAATGGTATTTTGCTGAGTTAGACAGAACAGCTCTTCAGAAACATCAGAAGCACTGAGAAGGCGGATCCGCACACCGGGACAGCGACATGTAGACACATCGCACACACGGAGACAGCCCCCACCTCTGCGAGGGAGCGATAGCCACTGTGTGCTCATAACCCTGTTGTGTGTCTTCGACACTCAAAAAATCAACTTAAAACAACTCTTTAGAAAAAAGCTTCTTTAGAAGTTAACTTGATGACAGGCATAAATGTCTAATCCTATGCAACACAGAGAACATTTCCCCACCTTAGAGGCAAAAGACAAAGATAAAATCTATTTTCTCTTTCTGTTCCTCTGTTACAACTTGAAAGTCATGGAGGTATGAGGTAGTGTAGTTTCATATCACATGCTGGCTGTTAAAACAATGCTGTTTTATGAAATGTTACATTTGGCCAATAATCAGAATATCATTAAAATAAACCCTTAATGCTAAACTGTTTATAGGTAGAGATAAATTTAAATCAAGTGCCTTAAAAATCATGTTTAAACTCTGGAGACAACAAGGCTTTATCACAGAGGAGGAAGCAGCGTCCAGGCCATATGTACAGGGGGTCGGGCAGAGGTCGCGTGCACACACTGGTGACAGCTGTGTCCACTGAGGTAGGGAGTCAAGGACTCCATTGGCTTGTATAAGGTTCTACATGGTGTAAACCAGAAACGCATTCATATTATTTTATATTCTGAAGTTGAAACTTAAAATCACAAGTATCAAAGCAGCAGCCACACGGGGACGTGTGTCCACACAACTGCTTTATAGGACAGTGGTCACCACAGCACTCACCCTCCTCCCTGCACATTCTTGAGTTATCTATAAAAGCCTCTAGAATATTAACAAGCCCAACTAGTTTCCTCTTATCACAACTAAGCCAATAGCAGGGCGAGCACACAGACCACTGGAACTATACTAGGAATATCTCCCCACCCTCCACCCCCCCAGAAAGGGAGGCATTTAACAAATGACTGAAATATTCTATGTGGTCTCCACAGACTCACAACAAAGGTCTCCTTGCTTCAGATGTGCTGCCACGGGACGATGGTCGTCTCCCATGTGAGCCATACGGCCTGCGTGAGACTCAGGGTGCCATCTGTGAAACCTCTTTGGCATCTGATCTTTCTAACCCAAACACCCTAAATTGCTCCTTTGTACCCTTTAAAACTGGGCTTTGCAAATGTTTCTGCGACTGAGAACACATGCAATGTTTTTAACTGCAGGAGGCCAATGGTCTATAGCTTCTATTTCCAAACAAACCTGTGCCCCAGGCTGGCCAAGCACCACAGGGGAGCACTGGGCTCACACAAACTGTGCTGAGAAACGGGGCTGCAGCAACACAAAGGGACTGTGAAATGCTGTCAAGAGGGCCTGTGTGCCTTACACACCAGGTCTGGGAAGAGAGCAGATTCGAACTGGCTTCCAAACCCAAATGCACAAGAAACAAGATCGAGTTTCCTCCTGTTTCACAAACTTGCACGTTGTTCTAGAGCCGTTTTTATCTACAATAATGCTTTCTGCAAGTAAACCACAGGATTTCAGAAACAGAATGAAAGTGTCTGCCCCTCAGAATAATGCAGGTGGCCTCTGCCGGGACATCTGGGCAGGCAGGCCCTGGGGTCTGGGGAGCGAAGGGACACTGCAGCGCTCTCGGGTCCTCCACTGGACAGTGTGTGTGGAAACAGACCGTGAGGGACAGAGATGTGGTGCCGACCGTAGAGGAAAAGAAGAAACATGACACTCACCCCGTTTATGCACCAGAACTTCTGAGTCCACCACAATGAGCAGGGCCTCTGCCTCCGCCACCTGCCTGCCCAGTTTCCCAAAGTCCCAACAGAGCTGAGGGGTCACAGTGCAGCCCCATCTCCTGGACTTGGCAGGAGCTGCGGAGCTGAGACCGCAGGCAGCTCTGCAACACCCTGGGGCGTCTGCAGACACGCGCGGACTGTGCGGATCTGCTCCAGTCCTCATTCTCGCAGTTTGTTTGAGTGAGAGGAAGAGTGCTGTTAACAGTTAATATTCTTTATAAAGAGTTGTCACAGCCTCACTACACGTTCACATGTGATTGCTGTGTCGGAGGCAGGCCATTTCTGCATCTCTTGTGGAGTCGAGGAGAAGCCAGGGCTGACCTCGGAGGTGCTCCTTAGCAGACGACAAGGGAAGACAGTATTGTTCAGGGACAGGTGCTAGATGAGGCTTTCAAGACCTATGTCAGAACTTCAGCAGGAACCTGACGGCTCGAAGGAAGCGTGAGGCTCACTCGTCAGTAGTACACTTATCTGTCATCTGCTGACAGAAGTCTGAGATGCCTGTGCTCTGTCGACAGGTCTCCACAAGCCCAGTGTGCTCCGGGGCCGCCCTGGAACTTGGGCTCGACTCTGGGCCCTGAACACAACCCGACGCACCGCCTTTCCCACTGGGGTAGCAGGGACTTCGCTCCCCGGCCAGCGGCGCAGCTGGGAGCCCCTCCGGTAAACTCACAATTGGTGGAAACACAACAGCACCATCAGAAGTACTTTTTTCTTTTTCAGAAATTAAAAACGAAAGTGGACAGTCTGAGGCCGAGTACTTGGCGAGTATCTGTATCTGTTCCTGACTCAGAGCCGCCTCTTTACAGACTTGCTGGCAGAGTCCAGTCAGATTCTGCTTCGTCTCGCCCAGCGTGGACAGAATGTGGTCTCGCTCCTTCAGCAAGCTCTCCTTCTCACTCTGCTGTGGAGCATGGAAGAGATGAAGGACTCATGTTACCAGCTCAGCCAACATTTCTAAGGCAATCAAACACTTACACTGCCATGTCTTCTCACTGAACAAGATCACATGGAATCTTTCCTTTCAATTCAATAGAGAAATATATTCAGTCCCTCAGGTTTGTAATCCCTCACCCAGAACTCTCAGGCCTCAGTGCATGCTGGGATTCGGGATCGCTTAGATTAGAGAGAATGTGGATGCACCATCTTCCTTCTGGCAAGGTCTGGACAGCACCCACTATCAAACATCTCTACACTTCTCAGCAAGACACCTCACATTTCAAGTCATGCACAACACAGGGAAAAGGACTCCACACGGCCTGATGTCACTGCATCAGTTTTGGCCACAGTAGCCGTGTGGTGCCCAGAGCTCCCCACAAGCTCCACACCTGCTCGGACTCACACCCTGGAGCCTGACCTGACCAAGCATTTCCTCTGCGCCAAACGTCTCCAAAGTCACCCTCTCTGCCGTGTGAATCACACGACTGCTGATTTAAGTAACATTAAACCCATTTTATAGGTGGGACTCAGCGTCTAACATGCCCAGAGTCAGAAGGCTAACGTGTGAGATGCCAAAGTGTGAAGAACTAGTGTTGGGGGTATTTTCTGTTTGTTTTCTGTTGCTGTTATTATTATTCAAAACCTCTGTCTCCACAGGACTCTTGGGAAGTCTTGCTGACTCCTGCAGCCCCGCCCACCGCTGCTCTGCTGGCAGCCTGGCCCCTCCCTCCCTGTGCAGCACCTCCTCGCACCCGCACCCGCACCCGGCTCCTGATCTGGCAGAGCAGGACCAGGCGAGCAGCTGGTGGGGGGAGGAAACAGAGGCTGGCGCAGGTCAAAGGCTTCTCCTGGGAGCGGCAGCAGCGCCCCTGGTTTTCTGTGACTGGCAGGTTCTGAGGAGCAGAAGCTGCAGGTTAAGTCACAGAGACGGTGACTTTATAGTGATGATTCTCTAAGCAGACTCTTTTCTGGAACAAAAATGGCTACAAGGGTAAAAAAATGTGCTTTATATAAAAGTACTATTACAGTTTTACATAAGTTTTCCTTAAAAAACTGTGTGTAAATCCCACTATGGTAGCTTTTAAATATTTCATGGCATCTAATATTTTGAGAAAATGTACAATGACTATAAAATACTAAAATTTTACATTGCAAAAAATTCTGCAATGTCGAGATTTTTACACAACTGTTCTGTTTTGAAAAACATAGGTAAAGTCATATTTATATATACATGTATCTATAAGTTAACAAATAAAACCAAAATCAGGGTTCGACAGGTAGATTTTTCTCAGAGTTTGCCAGCTGTAATTTCCCGATACCATGTGCAGGTGCCTGGAGGTGGGAACAGAGCCCAGGTGCCCTGTCCAGAAAGGACACAGTTCATGCAGTCAGCACCCCCTTAACCCACAGATATCATGAAGACACAAGTACTACACAACTTCTGCATCTTCAGATAAACATCAGCACGATCTTAAATATCCAGGTGTGCCCCGTACAAGGCGGCTTGCTTTTCCACAAGTAAAGCTGACAGGTGCAACCCTGTGAGCCTACCGTGGCTGTGTCTGAGGTTGCATGCTCCACCCTGTCCCTCTGTAACTAACTCCGGCTCAGCTGTTTCTAGGCAGTCAGCTGACTTTCCATCACACACTAGTTTCAACACACATTTACTTCAGCAGCACTGAGTTCAATAACTGATGGTTAAATGAGTAAAACTGATTCAGCTTAATCACTTCGTGATCAGTATTAGAGACACCTCTCAAACATGCTCAATTCCTGCTACCTATTTCTACAACATAGTTTAACTTCCTTACAATGCAACTATATAAATAGTAAGTTTGAAATGCTGTGGCTTTAATCATAGATCTATTTTTTTAAAATGAATAAAACCGGTGTTCTGGAACCATTTTGCACCCATTATGCATTTTATGACAACAAAACAAATTTACATTCCAATCTACATTTTCAATGGCTAATATACAATATTCATTTAAATGTAAGAAGTTAAAAATATTTTAATTGTAACTCACCCAATAAAGATAAGAAGTGGAAGAATTAGTCACCATGGGCAGATGGCTGTGACAACTTATTTTAGGTTAAAGAGTGTTCACTACTAGGAAGAGATGAGTAACAGTTCCCTGTGATGTCAAACCTCTGAAGAGACAGCTTGGAGAAATACACAAATGGCCTTTAGAATATGAATAAAAATGCTCAAATTCACTCAGAAGAGAGAGAAAAATAAAAGCTATCAAGAGACAGCCATTCTCAACATCAGGCAGAAACAAACAAGAGCTGGCATGAAGTCTCACTGAGGCTGTGGAGACAGCCCACTGCCGGGGGGGAGGATGCGCCCACCCTTCAAGCCGAACGCACCCTCTCTGACATGACATATGCATCTACCCAATCCAATGAGAGACACGCTCAAGCGTGAAGAGCCAGTGGACATGGGCACCCACGCAGCACTGACGCCTGTGAGACCCTGGCGTGGGTGCCCGGCGTTGCAGCTCCGAGGAGGATGGCAGCCCCTCTAAACTAAGTGGAACCACCCTTAAGTGACAGGAGCAAATACAGCACAGTCCACATAGAACACTTCTATGGAGCAAAAAAGGGTTACGAAAACACTCACAAAATATGAACTTTTTTTTTTTTTTTTTTTTTAAGAAAAAGAAACACAAAAGTTAAAAATACACACACTAAAAACCTGGTCACCTAAGGAAATAGCCATGAACAGAAGACAGGTGCGGATGGGACCAAGACCTGGGATTTAACTTCTGACCCACACAAATGTCTTATACACAGGTGGGCAAAAGCCAGGTCTACAGATGTTCGTATGGAAAATAATATAACAATTAATAAATAATAATACAAGAATAAACTCTATGTTTTGCATACTCACAATTATAGACCTACTTTTCCCCACCCTATATTCAAAAATGAAAAAATATGAGCAGCAAATCCTAGTAATAACTATAAACAGAAATTAATTTTATTTCAAATACTTTTAAACTTTAAACTTCAATATATGGTATGGCCTGGCTGGTGTGGCTCAGCTGGCTGAGTGTCATCCCCTGGACTGAGAGGTCCTGGTTCAATTCCTGGTCAGAACACATGCCCGGGTTGTGGGCTCCATCCCCAGCAGGGGGCATGCAGGAGGCAGCCGACTGATGTCTCTCTTATCAATGTTTCTCTCCTTCCTCTCTCTAAAATCAATAAAAACATATTTTTAAAAAATAAATCTCAATACGTGATATATGTAAAGACAAAAAAGGGCAAAGAAATATTAAATTTTACTGTTTACTATTAATAGTAACACTGACATTGTAAGTTTGTAACTATTATAAACATTCGTATAAAGCAAATAGTAAATACATTAATGTAATTGGGAGCCAAGACTTTCTTTGTAATAGAAAGAGATAAGATAAAAACATAAAAGAGAAGCAAAGAGAAAAGCCCCACACTGCTGAATTTTGATTGGAAAAATCTACATAAACTCATGGCTTCTGGTGCACTTTTTACTTTTATTTATCGAAGTGCAATACACATACTGAATGCGCACGTGCACATACACACACACACACACTCTTCCCAGCTCTGCCTACAACATGTTAGCAGCAAGCATGTTTTCTAAAGTCTAATATCTGGCTAAAAGTAACAGGAAACCTTAAGAATGGGGAGATCACAAATCTTGGGACTGAGAGCTCCAGGTGAGCCTATGACAAGTAGTTCTAGACCGAACAAAACCACTAATGGGGTCATATCAAAAGGACACCAGAGCTGGCTTGGGGGCTCTCCCTGGTCAAGTTTGAAACTATGTCAACATAAAAAAGAGTAATGACTACTACAGACTCTAAGAAATTAAATGAGAAAGAAACGAACCCAAGAGTGTGTAGTGATATAGAAAAGGGACACACACTGAGGGCAGAGAGGGAAGGAAGGTTCTTTTTAAAGAGGGACACCAATGGCCATGGTTCAAAACCAAAGCTGCAACATCTGGGAGTTGTGCCTCAGACTGTCTCGAGACCCTACTGGCCTTGGTGAAGCTGAGACACTCACGTGGCGACCAACCGCGAGCAGTCCTGGACAACAGCCAGTGCCGAGTGGGGGCCTCAGTCCAACATCCTGCAAGAAACTGATCCTGTCAACAAGCTGTGAGCTAAGGCTTAGAAGGAGACGTTTCTCAGGTTAACCCTTCAATGAGACCTCAGCTGGGCTGACACCCTGCCTGCAGTCTGGGGAGACAGAGGCAGAGCCCTGCTAAGCCATGTCAAATCCCTGTCCCACAGAAACTGAGATCATAAATTGTTTTTAAGTTGTAAAAAATAAATAAAGAGGAATACCAATAAGGATAAGTGGATTAACCATATTTGAACTCCACAGGTTACTGAACAATTACAAACGCAACGAATGCCATTCTGACAAGAACCTGCACTGCCCAGGTGCCCTGGCACTGCCCGGAGACGTGAGGTGGAGCACACCTCACCCACCACGTCCACTCTCGGACCAACAGCTCCAACATTCGCAGTTGACGTGAAACACGAGAGCTGGAGGAGTGAGGTAAATACAACCACGTGTAACTGTCAGTAGATATTAAAAGTGGGATATTCTATGAGAAATATGGCCTGGACTTTTCAGAAAGTTACTGTCATAAAAAAAGAGGACTTGTTCTAGATCGAGGAGCTAAAAAACAACCAAATGAGTTATATGATGATTGAATTCTAGTTTGGACAGAAAAAAAGCATATATAAAACATATATTTGAGGAACAAGGAAGGTAATTTGAATAGGGACTAAGATATGTGAGAATGTCTATTTTTAGGAGATGCATGTTTAAGCATTTAAGGGTGAAATGTCATAATGTGGTGGCTTTCTAATGATTCAGAATAAAAGGAGAGTGGCAGAGGCAGGGAAGACAGAGACATCAAGAACGACCAGCTACATACGAGAGACCAAGACGGACTGACAGAGCAGTCAGCCAGAGGGGGAGAGACCTGGTCAGAAAGACAAGGACCCACAGACAGAAAGGTGAAGCCGATGTGGTAGGAACGTCAACAATGCTGGATCTATGTAAGGTTGTTTATTTTACTATTCATTTAACTTTTCTGAAAGCTTGACATTTTTAGAATGTGAAGGGAAAAGGTGAATCTTAAGGAAAAATCAAAACACATAAGCCTGGCTCCCTGGGAAGCTGTAGGCATGTACTGCAAGGACGTGTCTCATCATCACTGCCACTGCCACTGTGCAGCGCTCGGCAGCTGCTTTGGGAGAAGACAGGACTCTCTTATTTCAATGCCCTGATATTTACAGGCCTGAGCACGTGCTGAGCAAGTGCAAGACACTCTGTCCCTGGGTATCTGAGCCTCGCACCAATCCAAGGGAGGCATTGCTCTTACCCTGCGCTATCGATGAGGAAGTGTGTGCAGTGGAGGTGAAATAATTTCCCGAGGCCACAAACCTACTGAATGGCCGGCAGGACTCCCAGCAGTCCGACTGTCTGACACCGAGCTCTGCAGCCTCTACCTGGCCCGTGTGCCGTGCACGATGAGGACCTGCCCTGAGACTCTCAGCACGTGCATGTTCGGGTCCCCAGGCGCTCTGATGGGTGCCCCCAGATCACACTGCGGCCAGTGGCGCACAGACCACCACCTGATGAGAGTGGGGAGGGCAGCACGCACGCGGGCACAGCAGCCAAAAGAACAGACCAGACCAGGTTCTCTTCTAATAAAACAATGCGGCCTTCACCACAGAATGCAAAGCCCTTAGGACAGGTGAGGTGTCGACTCTACACCATCACGAGGACAACGGCAAGGGTGCAAAATGCCATCTGAATACTGAGCTCAAGTGCTGGTATGAGTCAACATTTGATAACGTCTCAAATTACATTTTGGTAATTAAATTTTTTTCTTTAACAAGCAAGATTCCTTCATTACAAGTTTCCTTTGTTTGAGGTTTAAATGGTATTAGAGCCCTTGATGGTTTGGCTCAGAAGTTAGAGTGTTGGCCTGTGGACCAAAGAGTTGTGGGTTTGATTCCAGTCAAGGGCAAGTACCTCGGTTGCAGTTCATCCCCAGGCCTGATTCAGGGTCATGCGGGAGGTAACCAGCCGATGTGTCCCTCTTGTGTCGATGTTTCTCTCTCTCTCTCTCTCCCCTTCTCTCTCCCTCCTTCCCACTCTACCTGAAGATAAGTAGAAAAATATCCTCAGATGAGGATTAAAAATAAATAAATAAATGGTATTAGAGACACTCATGTTCTAACTTCTGAACTAATCTTCCAGACAAAATAAACATGGACCATGTAAAGAATCCTTTAAAGATAAGAGCTTTCTAAGCCAAACACATAACAAAAGTTGAATGATCCTTGAATTCTGTTCAAGGCCCTTGTTTGCATCGTCCATCTCATGATAAATGCAATGCTGAATTAATGTCTACCCTCTAAAATACCATCCAATCCTAAATAAATGCTAAAAGGCATTACCATCAATTTACCCACCAAATCAATACACAACTTCCCCATTCTTCAAAAGTTCTACTCAGACTGACAGAAATTAGTACTGGAAAGTACCACTCACAACCGCACTGAATGCGAACCGCGTCTCCCGTGGGCATCCTCAGCACACTGCGCTGGAAGTGTCCTCCCTACAACCTTGACCCGCCTTGAGGACATTTAAGTCATTATTCTAATTGTAATGAAAATACTTCTGTCTTGTGCTGATCCATCCAGTCTGTTACTGAGGACCAACTGCAGAAAGTTTACAACCAATAGCCAAAGACTAAAGTTTACTAAGATCTGGGGTCTTTTGCTGACTAAGGGGCCAGGGCAATATACACTGTGAATTCATTCATACGTTAATATAATCCATTGCTGGCTATGTAGAAATGGCTGTTCATAAACACGTAACTTCCCTTAAATAGGTTTGCTAAACTCCACCCAGACTATGAAGACTGGGAAACACCATGTGTCTACTGACCACGATTCCCATGACCCTCAGTAAACAGAACGTCCAACCTCCTATTCTCAACTCTCCACACTGCTGCCTGCAAACCTGTGGACCAAGTGTAGCTGTAACTGCTACTTGTTCACTCTTCACCGAAGACAAGATCCATGACATCACCCCACAACCAGGGTCTGAGAAAACTTCATGCAATGAACATCTCGGGACCCAATCCGTCCCCAGGATAGGCAGCTCCCTCAGAGCACGTCCCACTCAGCCCAGCTGCGGAGAGGCTGTAGCAGCAGAGGCTCCTGGCGCCCACACTGCACGTGGGCTGCCTGTGTGTAGTGTGCGGGGCTGCGCAGAGCTCAAGGAAGCTGAACAAGGCAAGTCACACCAACAAACCACCCTAATGTCTGCTCTGGGATATCGTGGAAGAGGAAAGAGACTGAGCGGCTCGACCGGTACACATGCAGGTGAACAGACCCGCCGGGCAGTGAGCACTGCCTGCCAGAGAGGTGGGCTCTAGGCAGCCACATGTCTGCTGCCTGCCCTGCTTTCTAGTCACAGACAAGGACACCTGAGCAAAAGGCCGACTGTATGCTCTTCTCCTTGGGAATTCAGACCTGGATGGACAGGCACTAGTCCACACCTACGTGGACTGATTTGTTGAACTGAACCTGCAGTCTCCTCTGGACCAGTCCCTGGAGGAGGAAAGTCTCCAGGGGTGCACAGCGGCCACTGCGGCCATCAGCACACAGCCATCCTGGGCTGTGCAGGGTGCGCTCAGGGAGAAGATGAGCTGTTGTCCACTCTCCTGTTCTGTCATGTTTATGAGGCCAGGCTCCACTCACTGTTCAGGGTACTGACCAATCTGATTTTTCATTTTATAAAAACTGCTGGGAAACTAAATATTCCTTTGTATTAAAAATTAACCACCAGTCACTCCACTGCCTATTTGAAAGGAACCTTACTGTAATGAGAGGCAATATAAGGGCAGGGTCCAAACCCAAAGTTTATAGTTCAGGCAGAGATATTAGGAAAGAAACTAAGGAAGAGATACTAAACATAGATGAATGATGGCATAGCAATAAGAAGAAAAGGGTACTATTTATTAAGAGCTTACAATGTGCCAGGCAGCTCACTACACTCTCCAGATGTATTAATAATCTCCATGAGACCCACTCCGCAGCGTGAGAACTAGTACTGGCCCATCTGACAGACAGGAAACCTGAAGGACAGAGAAACTAAACAGCCTTTAGTTTGTAACCCAAAGTTACAAAGTGCCACGGGTGGGAGTCAGACTCAGAACCCTCTCTGCTGAAGCAAAGGCAGAGGCGCAGCAAGCCCAGCGACAGGAGCCAGGCCTCGCCATCCGACCACCACCAACTATCCAGCAGGCCAGCATCACACTTCAATAAAAAAGTGTAAGTTGAGACCTGCGAGCCAGGAAATAGAATAGTTCTAAAGGGTAATAACTACTCCCCAACATACTTACTTAGTATCCATTTACAAATAAAATTACTTACAAAACAGACTGGATCAGTCTAAGGTTTGTTTTGTTTTCATTTCTGTCTATTTTTAGGATGGAGAACACTGGACAAATTCTACCTCTGCTATCGCCAGTGGAGGAAGGAAAACAACACGCCGCAGGTCTAAGAAGGGTCACAGCATGACCTCGAGCAGCTCTCCCTGAGCCACAGTCTCAAGTGCAGAGCAAGCTGAAGAAACTGCTCCACTCCCCTACAGGCAGGAAGAGCTCGACGCAGAGCTGTGTACGAGAGCGCACTGCTGCTCCAGGTAAGGACTGATGCACACCCCGAACCGGTAAACAGGGCCAAGCGACTTTCCTTCTTTGCTCCCAGCACACTTGAACCATTCAGCAAAGTCACACAGCACCCTCTCTCTCTTATGCCTTCACTTGTAAAACATCTGGTTTCTCTTCCATCTTTACAGGTACACTTCATCTTCTTATATAGTTACTGTTTGCACAATTAAAGTATATACAAAAGACATAAATTTTTATTTTTCCATTTTTTGAATGGTTGTCTTTTTTATAAATTGTTTCATTGCTATTCATAGCTAGGATGTTTCTGCTTGAAGGTTTGCAACAATCACAATCTTAAACTTGCACCGATAATTAACTGAACACTGAGGGCATGTTTTCCCACAGTGGGCCCTGTTCCCCACCCACCACCCCTGCACTCTCACAGGTGCTTCTCATAGTGTTCCTTCCAGCAGCCACCAGGGGACAGAGAAGCATGGCAAAGTTACCCCATTTTTTAGTTAATTTGTGTTTTGATGCTGGAACAGAAATGATGTACTAAAATAAGCATCCCTCACACTCAGAGTCTCATTAGATCTTTAAACTTACAAATTCATATCAGCATGTGTGTATTTGCCTTAGATAAAAGATCCAAACTGGTTTGTTTTGGTATCAGCCAAAACAAGTTATTCAAGTCTACAGTCTATTTACACTAACAACTGAACTATCAGACTTTATAGATACCAAACACAGCACAAAGACACTGCAGTGCCTTACGTCTATAATCTTTACTCAATCACTAAGAATTAGGTGGATAGTAAAAATATCCTTCATTTGTAAATCATTAAAAAGGCACCCAGAAACAGTTCTCAACTTATATATTACAGCACATTATACTATCATATGTAGAATATTCACATAAGTAAAAGTCTATGAACAGCCTCTTTTTTATTTCCTAAGTTTTCTGAAAATGTCATAAAATTTATTTTCTTAAAACAGTAACTGGTAAGTTTTAAAATTAATGTATAATTTAATATTATAATCTGACTCGGGAATTAAAATAGCTATTTCTTCTACCAAAAAAGACTGGATGGATGTGGTAGAATTTAAGTAAGGAGAAACTTGCACTTACCAGCTTCTCGATTTCTGACTCAAGATTCTGTATACAGTCAAGTTTCCTCTTGCGGCAGCGCTGGGCAGCAATCCTGTTCTTGCTCCTTCGTCGAATATCATGGATACAGTCCAGTTGTTCCGGACTCAGCTTGTGCATTTTCAACAAGGACTGGAAATCATTCCGAGAGAGGGAGATTATTCGCTGTGCGTTGAATGGCAATTTCACCTAGAATGTGAAACACATGTTAGTCCCTGTGCTGGATCTATGACCGCACTTGAACCTGGGGGGAGGACACGCGTCCCTGCTGTCCAGAGGCCCTCCTCACACTGCAAAGACAGATCTTTGTTCCCAGTGTCTGTACAATACCTGGGAATAAACGTAACCAAGGAGGTAACAGATCTGTTCTCAGAAAACTACAGGACATTGAATAAAGAAATAAAGGAAGCCCTGGCCGGTTTGGCTCAGCGGTTGGAGCATCAGCCTGCAGACCATAGGGTCTGGGGTTTGAGTCCCAGACAAGGGCATGTACCCGGCCCCAGAGAGTCCAGTCGGGGTCATGCGGGAGGCAACCAATTGATGTGTCTCTCTCATACTGATGTTTCTCTCTCCCCCCCCCCCCTCCTGCAGTCTATCTAAAACTCAATGGGAAAATATCCTCGGGTGAGGATTAACAACAACAAAAAATGTTAACTATAACTCATGCATACATCTTATTTCTTAAATGAAATCACCAATCACCTCCTTCCACAGCCAAGGGAAAAAACAGCCTCTTACACACTTCCAAACCTGTCATCCAACAACCATAAAGCCAAAGAAAATGATAAAGAACTAATAAGCCTTATTATTGCTGGAGTCACAGGACTGTCTTACAACAGTGGCTGTCACACACGCAGCGCATGAAGCACACAAACGAGCTGCCGGGGTGAGCGCCACACCAACTGCCTGCAGCGCTTGCTGAGTCCCTGAGACACCCATCCGTTCAGTGAGCAGCTGAGCTGGCCACGGGAGAGGGAGACAGGCGATCTGTGCAGGCTGATGCACACCTGCCAGGGACTGTCCCGCCAGAGACCTGGGGGCAGTGCTCCAGGAGCTGCAGGCAGCAGCCAGGACCACTGCCTCTGCTGGGGCGTGGCATCTGATAGAAGCAGTGACACAGCCAATGTGTGACTCTGTGCCACGGTTAACATAAGCACGGCTGCTTGAGATCCGTGAACACAGAAGTCCTAACTTCCTCACAGTTGTTAGATACAGACTCCACAGTTTCATATCCAACTATGTATGGGTTTCCTCCTCCCGGACCCTGCTCTTATCCCTAGTGGTGCAACAGGAGCTCACACAGTAAATCCCAACCAGTGGTGGTGAAACCATGACTTAGCTACACCCACGTGCCCCCCTCACCTCACATTCTTGTTCTCTGGCTGAACAGGGTTCACTGTCTCCTTCCGTGTCCGTCTCAGAGTCGTCTCCCAAGCTGATCACACAAGCATACGGACAAGGTTCCTGCTGGGGTTCTGAGACATAATCGTCAGCTCCAGCTTCCAAACTGCTCGAATGGCCTTCGGTGCTCAGAGTACTTATAAAAGGGCAGTTGACAGAACTTAACGTTGCGAAAGTCCTCTGACCTGGTTCTGGGCTCTCACTAATCCTGATCCCTAACCAGGGACACTCAGACCGTTTCTGTGAGTGGACCTGTTCTGATCCATCCTTTGCCACGGCAGGTGACGACTGCATTTGGCAAGGAGAGTCTGAACTGCAAATGTCACTCCAGAAGCCCTTTGCCAGGTGCTCTGCCACCTCCCGTTCCACACTACTCCGGTCACCAGGAGCCAGGCTGCTCTCTTCCCTGGGGCCGGAGTCAGATTTCAAATGTAAATCTTGACTTTCAGCAAATGTTTTCTCTTCTCCAACATCTGGGCCTGGCAAAGGCTTTTCTGTTAACACTGTTGTGTTTTGCATACCAGCAAGATTCAAGTCACCATATTGGTCATATGTGTGTAGGAGGGACAGAGAGTAGAGCCCCGGGGGGTCTGCAGAAGAGTGGAGGAAAGGGGAGATGTCTGTCTTCCCCAAGGGGCACTGAGGAGCAGGCTCTTTCTTGGTGTCTCCATGTTCCATCGCTATTTTACTTTCTTCACATTTTAACATCTGCACAGCTGCACAGCCCTGGATCCCTCCCGGACATTCATTCTCAGACGGCTCACTTGGCTGAACAGAGGTGGGAACGTCTTTGAACCCGGACTCCACAGTTCGCACTCTGTCCGTTCCAAACGCTTTTTGGAATTTCCTGTATTTGGGGCACAAAGATGGCAAAGCCAGAGCAGCACCCTTTTCTAAGCACATGGACTCGCACGTCTGACTGGCACTGTCTTGCAGAGGAGGTGATAGTTTTGTATTTCCTTGATAACCACGAAGTTTACACTGAGGAGACTGAACATCTTTATTTTCCAAAAATTCCTCTACCTCACTAATTTCTAAATCTCTCTGGTCCAAAAGTGGAAATTTGAGGTCTGTTTTCTGACAGTGTGATGGGAAGCATTTTTTTCTTGGGCATTCTTGCTGGTTTGCAGTGGAGTCCGAAGACTTGAATTTGAGAAACTGAAAGCAGGATTCCTCAATGTCATGTACACCTAAAAACTCCACACACTTGCACACTTCGTCCACATTGTCCTTACGTAAGCACAGTTTGGCAGTGTAGGCAAACTGGATCACAGGGTCAAATCCTTTCACTGTCACCTGTCAACACACAAAGTAAAGACAAATGTGTCACTCGAAAGCTGTCTAGCAGATATATACAAGAGGAGGCGGGAATATAGATGAGTAACTCGGCACTGTTATTAAACAGGTGTTTAATCTGGTGCGACAACTATTCCTCCAGGAACTGTGAATTTGAGGGAATCTGAAAAAGCTATCACACCCTAGTCATTGGGACCACACCCTTCTCTTTACACAGTCCACTCTTACTGGCACATGAATTATGATTTACTCCATGAGGTACATACAGAAAGAGAAACAGCACCATAATATCTCCACATTAGCTGCAATAAAGAACCAGTGCGATAAATCAGGACGAACTCCAACACACAGTCAAGTCCCAGGTGTCTGCTGTCAGCCCAGTTCCTGGCAATCAGTGCTCCAAATACTGTACTCTCAAAGATAAAAACAATACATCTAAAGCACTTACAGTAGTTCTAATCCATGGCACATGCACAATCAATGGTGACTGTTCCCTTTATCTCATGCCAAACATTTCTAATAGAATTTTTAAAGATTCAGATTTTAAAAATGAACAAAGTGAAGTTCTAACAACCATGCCTCCTACTGTTTCAGCAGAGTCATGGACTCCAGGAAACAAGCCTTCGAGCAGGAGCTTGTACGTCCACAATGACCTGCCTCTGCAAAGTGAGGGCAATGGAACCTACCGAAGTGCACAGAAAAGCCTCATTCTGGGTTAAAGACACAAATCAATTTTACCCCACTGAGTTCCTGTAAGAGTGATCAGGATATTGTTTGCATGATCTTCCTAAAACATTCTAAGCTGTGCGTACTGAACTAGCTTTTACATGGCCTAAAACCAAAAGCAGCAACAACCCAGTGTCAGCGAGGCTGCAGAGGAGCGACACGCTCACCCGTGGCGGGGAAGTGGGAGTGGCACAGCCACTCAGCAAACAGGCCAGGGCTTCTCGTGAGCTAACACACAGCCACCTCTATCCCTGCAACTGTGCGCCTGCCCTCCACCCCCGAGGATGACTGTGCACAGATGTCCACAGCCACTTCATCTGTAATAGCCAGAGCCTGAACTAGCGAATTTCCTTCGGTAGGTGTACAGTTAAATACAAACGGCTACATCCATACTGTGGATTACTACTCGGCAGTAAAAAGGACTACTGATACATGCAATCCAGATGAATCCCAGCGGACTAAATGGAAAAAAGCCAATCCCAAAGGTCACATCCATTGATTCAATTATGTAATCCTTTGAAATGACACAACTTGAGAAGAGGGGGGCAGATGAGTGGTTGTCAGGGGTTAGGGAAGGAGGGTGTGATTATAAATGGGCAACACAAGGGATCCTTGGGTGCTGGAATCATTCAGTACCCCAACTGAGGTGGACACACAGACCTCCACAGGGGATGGAACTGTACCAAACTCCACACACACACTGAGTGCAAAGAAAACCATAAAGTCTGAGTAAGACGACAGACTGTTTCCATGTCAATATCCCGGCTGTGATTACTACAATTTTGCAAAATGTCACCATGGAGGAAACGGGGCAAAGGACACCAGAGATCTCTGCACTTCTGTGAATTTGCAGGTACGGGTAAATTTCAATTAGCAATTTTTAAAAATACATTAAAATAACCAAAAAAGGCTTTTAAGACAGTGATTTATATCATATTTTCAGTCTGTCACTACTGCAAATATTTGAAAATGTAGAGGATGCACACTCAAATTAGAGCGAATAAATGAATACATATGTACACACACATGCACCCACCCAGATAACTTCCCTCTCGTGTCCCCGAATCACACTTTCCTCTACTGGGAAAGCAGAAGGAACTAAAAACACAGACCACATAGGAAAGTGTACCTCCAGCATGAGATGTGCGCTACCCTCAACAGTGATGGCTCACGACAGCAGGCCTTCCTGTCACTTTGTTGGTATTGCCGTCCTCGCTCAGACCTCTACACAGAACTGACCACCTGTTGATCCCCCAAATGGCAGGCACAACTTCACAGACATATGTGTGGCCATACAGGCCTGGTGCACACAAAGAAGTTCTACATACTTTCTTCAATTCCTCTTAACAAATCCTCGTGTGTCCCAAGGCCCTAGGCCCACCGCGCCCCCAGCTGCAGCTAGGACGTAAAGCGCTGTTCTGAGCATCAGCACTCCCAGGCCAGAGCAAAGTCTCTGGGGCAAGGTGTTCACAAGGACCGAAAGCTCAGAACGCCATACCAGGCTGGGAGACCAGGTGTGCGAAACGAGGCTCCATGTAGATGAAGCAAAAACTCTTTTTTCTACCAATGCACAGACACAAGCTCAAGAAACAAGAAAGAAAAGAGAAAGAGCACACTTATGGAGCACCGGCTGCCCATGAGGGCATATCTTAGCAACATGAGCGATTCACAGAACCCTAACCCAGGCCCAGCTCCCACCACAGGGAGAGCAGGGCACAGCATGGCTGCTCCAAGCACCACCTCTCCGAAGGTCTCCAACCCACCTGCTGTGCCCAGCTTTGGTCATTTTATCAACAATAATGTAAGTTACTCATCTGCTCAATAAATATGTTTAACTATCATACAAAATTAATTTTACATGTGAAATGTCATAATTCTATTTAAAAAGTTAAAGAGACGCATTGCTGCAGAGCACCTAGGGCTGCTCCTGAGCTTTCAGTTCTGACTTAGTGAGAGGGAATGAAGTCATATTAAGTTAGAATCAGGTGACTCCCTGAAGGTGCCCTCTCACCTCTTCTGGTAGAGAGATGCTGAGCTCTGTGTCAGCCTGGCCCACGACTCTCGCGTGGAAGTAGCTGCTGCAAGCCGCCAGCACAGCCCGGTGGGCACGGAACGGCTGTCCCTCCACGAGGACGGTGATGTCACACAGCTCGTCCTTCCTCCGCTGGTCGTTGAGGCTGAGCAAGACGTTGGCGCTGTGCACAGAGGACTCGTAGGCAAAGGCCGCGCTCTCCTGCAGAGACATCCTGCGTCACGAAGGGTGTGGGCAGGGCAGTGCGCATTCTCCTCACTGCCATCAAACCTGCAGACACAGGGAGAGCTCACTGAAAGAGGGTCTTGTCACCGTGGTTTAAAGTGACAGTGCCAAATATAAACTACTCATCACTGAAACAAAACTAAAAACAACAAAACCCTCCTGTGAGCCCAGAAGCATTTAATCAATTTCCCTCATTTGCAATAGGGTCTTGAGAGCCCTTTTTCTAGCTAATTTAAGGAAAAGGTTCTCAGGGTGGGGAAAGGAAGACTTTTCTGAACCAAGGATCACGTGTTCTCTGGAAGTGAGACATCCCACACTGAGAAAACGCCCCGAAGAGCAAGCAGGTGAGCCAGTCCCGTCGCTGTGAGACGTGACGGGCGCGTGGTCCCCAGAGGGCATGGCTGGGATAGGACTGACCAGAACGCAGGCCCCGTCCCGACCCTCTGAGAGCTGGCAGAGGACGTGGTGCTTCACAACAAAGGACCCGTCCCACAAAAGGTAAAGTTCCTCCAACACAAAGTAGAAAATGACTTCTTCTGTAACAAGTCTCACTCTGCAAAGTACAGGCGACAAATACAGCTCCTTCGTCACTGAGAATATGGGTGCACACACAGAAGTTCCTGGTTTTTTCAAAATGTTAAAACAAGTTATCAAAAATGTCTACTTTTAGAAACTGTCATTATTCGCAGATGACATATTATACATAAAAAACCCTAAAGACTCCATCAAAAATCTACATTTAATAAATGAATTTGGCAAAGCAACAGAATAAAAAATGAACGTCAAGAAATCGATGGCATTCTTATACACCAATGATGTGCACAGCCAGGACGAACTGTGAAAGCGGCTGTCACTAAGTTAGCAGTGTGCAGCCTCAGGGTCTCCGCTCTCACCAATTCTCTGTCCCTGTCCCTGTCTCTGTCCACAGCAGCCTTGCGGTCATCACCTTTCTCCTCAATGCGCGTTTCTCCCTGTGGACCCTAACTGGGATCTGCTCAGAAAGTATGCCCTCCTACCACCTCCACAGGTTCCCTTCTCCTGCTGAGTCTAATACCTTTTCCTAACACCCTCTCTCCCCAAGTCCAACCTCTCTGCTGGCTCCTTGCCATAGGCTTTGTTCACAAATATGTTTATGTCTCTCCAGAAACTGTCCTAAAACTACCAAGAACTAACAGCATTCCCTAATTCTGCACTAGGCCCTGAACTGAACACTGGACGTGGGAGCACATCTCATTTATTCTCACAACCACCTGGTGACACAGACGCTCTAATAACATCCCAACTTTACAAGAGGAAACGGGCTCACTGAGAAGCACCTTGACCAAGGTCAAAAGAACAATAAGATGAAGAAGGGGAATGTGTACCAAGCCCTCATCTACCCCATGTTCTGTCTCCAGGGAGCATTTGCTGAAGGTAGTTTGGAAACTCACAGTAGTAATGGGGGAGCCAGGTACCCCTAACAGTCATGCCTAAGAATAGACAGGAACAAGGAGCTGCACCTGAACTTCAGGAAGAGGGTGCTGCACCCTCCAACACTGGAACCTCAAGGTCCTCTGGATCCCAAGGGGCTGCAGCAAAACTGTACCCACAGCCGCACCCCAGAGCTATGGAAGGCCCTCTGCCACCAGGCGGCGCACTACTCGCCTTCAACTCCAGGAAGAATTTATTCTTGGCTCAACCCCTGAGTAGGCAGTTTGGGGTGACAGCTCAGCTCACAGTTCAGAGCCAGCTTACAGATATGCTGTAAAATGCAGATGTGGGTGACATGCCAACCCCAAGTCCCCTCAGCAGCAGCTGAGAGAAGCTCGAGAAGCAAGTGGTGAAGCAGCGCGGGAGGACCAGAACCAGAACGTGCACTGAGCACACACCAGGACCCCTCCCACCACAGACCTGGGACGCATCCTGACACCTCTCCACACGGAGACCCACCCCCCTGCACCTGCACTGCCACCACCCAGCTCCTGCACTGCTGGCTCTACACACATGCCCACCTCTGCAAGCCTCACGGGCTCCACACAACAAAGGCAGTTCTATAGAATAAAAAGGGAAACGGTTTACATACCAATATTTTACCTTTACTAGAGTGCCAAGTACTCTAATTCCTGTTCTATAAAAAGAGCTCCAGTTGTGGTCCACTCAACTTCAAGAACCACTGATAGACCATCACAAGCCAAGTGGCTGACCGCACGGAATCTAGAACTGTCTGGGCTCAAATCCCAGCTCTGCCACTTACTAACTGTGACCTGGCACAAGCTGTTTATCCTCGGGGTTTGGTTTCTCACATGTAAAACCGGGACAGCAGCAGCACTCACCGGGCCATCATGAGGTCCACCTGAGACAAGGAGGGCGAGGGCTCAGTGCACTGTCGGGCCCACGGCAGACAGATAATAAATAATAAACAAAGCTGCTACGAAGGGCATCAGCAACAGAACCTTCATTCCCATCAGACCCTCTTGGTCCCTTCTATTTACTCACCCACATCTAAGTGATTCTCTCTTGCTGAAAATCCTATGATGTCTTCCAAATTGCTTACGATCAACTGTCAATCCTCAGCATGTCCTCCGGGCCTCATGGTCAGATTCCCTATGATCCAGGGTCCTCTCAAGCCTTGTCTCCCCTCTTGCTCTTCTCCAGCCTCACTGCCCTTCCTCCTGCCCCACACGCACCAAACTCCTTCCGACCTCAGGATCTTTACCGAGGCCCACTCCCTGGACTTCTGTGGTTCAGCTGGCTACCTCCTCACCTTGTAGGTCTCAGCGTAAATGCTAACACCTTGCCTGACTTGTTTTCTGTCCTCAAGCATATAAGAGAGTACCTGGTCCAATGCAGGTACTTCCTTCTGGATGAATGACTTGGTGTTTTCAATACAAATCCAAAACCTGGGTTATCTACGTCTTCTTCCAAACAGCACAGCCCACGTATGCCCTGAGACAAGCACAGAGACATCTCCTTGGACGGCTTTTCCAGAGTCACAAGGAGTGAATGGGAGCCCAGCTCACCCCTCTGGAAGCTAAATGCACCTGCAAGACAAATGACCAAGAGCAAGGCTTGGCACCTACAAGCACAGCCACCACACTGACTGTATGAATGAGGCCCCTCAACCTTGGCCTCGATGGCATGGAGCACAATAGAATGTTCTTCTGTAAATCAACTTTCTTCATTCTGAAAACCACCCAAGGGTCAGGAGTCCACTTTTACCCAGCAATGTAACAAAGTAATGACTAAATCAGGTAAGAATAGTACACATTCTTCCATCATAGAGTCCCCTTCTAACACTTCTCAAACCTAAAAAGATGTAACACCTCCAAGGAACCTTCCAGATCTAAATTCTGTTAATTGATTAACACCAAATTTAGATTCCTATGTTACACATGATTTTTTCTATATATACTATCGTTCAAGTTCAAAATAAGCACTTGCTGACCTTGGCGAAGTGCTGACTCATTCAGTGATGATGAGCAAGGATGAGCAGACATTTCAACGCTTCCTCAATTTGGAAATAATCTCTGCTCAATATATACAATTTAAGTTTTAATACAGAAAAACTTGACGTTTTTCTTTCAAAATCACAAAGAAAATGAAAAATGACGCTGTGGCTTTATCACACACCAACACAATCAACTTTGAGGATAACTTACTTAAACCTGTAGAGAAGTCAGGCAGCTGCAGGGCCACGGAGCCCGGTAAGAGAACTGCGGGGCACGGCCACGTGTGCCGAGAGCTGCACTCCACTCACCTCGCGTCTCGCAGGCCTGCGCTGTGCTTGACGCTCTGGGCGCGGGAAGGCACAGAACACCATCCACACCCAAGACCCTTTTAGAAGGAAAGACTGTCATCCAAACACCCTTCACCTTCCCTGAACAACAACTGTTTTCTACAAGTGCCGCACAACAGAGTGGGTGCCACGGAAACACGAGACAGTCCCTACATTCAAGAACAGCCTGGCTGGTTCGGCTCAGTGGTTAGAGTGGCAGCATGCGGACCAGAGAGTACAGGTTGGGTTTCCTCTAAGGGCACGCACCTCGGTTGCAATTTGTCCCCAGCCCCGGTTGGGGCTGTGTGGGTGGCAGCCACTCGATGTGTCTCTCTCACATCGATGTTTCTCTCTCTTCCTCCCTCTCTCCCTCCTGCTCTATCTGAAGATAAATGCAAAAAAAATGTCCTTGGGTGAGGATTAAAAAGAAAAGAAGAAGAACATAACCTAGAGATGCTCAAACTAAAAATGATGCCTTGGGGACAAGGATCACTATAATCCATCTATATAGGAAGGTGAACATTTCTAAAGATATTTATTTGCAGTAAGTCTTCAGACAATAACTACTTTCAGGTCAATTCTCATTTAACCATAATATTCAACTAAAGAGAACAGTGAATTTCCAGAAGAGTCCTGTTCGTCAAGGGTTGGGGTGGGGGCATGGTGCGTAAGTGACCAGTGAGTGACCCTGGATATCAGAAACGGTGCAAGAGGTCGCCGCCTTGGCCTGCACACTAAGCAGTGCCTGATGCCGGCCTGGCCGATGCCCTTCTTTCCAGGAGCCAAGTAGAACGTCCCCTCTTCCTCCTCGAGGCCTCTGCCTGCCTCCACCTCCGGCAGCCCCTTTCCCCCTGCCTGGCTCAGCTGCAGGGCAGGTCTCCAGAGCTCAGAGGAGGCACATTCCTCTCTCCACCTCTCCTCCTTGGCTCCCTCCTACACTTCAAGTCCCCTGTGCCAGATCCGACTACAGTACACCTGACACCCCGAGTCCAAGTGCTCTGTGGACATTAGGGGGCCCTGTCTTGTATTTCCACAGGGACAGTAAAGACCCAACAGTGTCATGTGTGTCCATCTTCAGTGCTCTGTCCTTCCTTCAGGGGCTTTATAGAAATGTAGGCCTGACCAGTGTGACTCAGTGGTTGAGCATTGTCCCGGGCACCAAAGTCTCCGGTTCAATTCCCAGGCAGAGCACGTGCCCGGGCTGCGGGCTTGATCCCCATGTTCTGCTTTCACATCGATGTTTCTCTCTCTCCCTTCATTCATCTCTCTCTAAAAATCAATGAACTATATA